CATTGCAATACCGTTTGTGCTCTATTTTATCACTTGCTACCTTGTTGTTTTTATACTTTCAGATTACAAAAACCTATATTACTATCCATACTACACTTGTATCACCATCTCTGCATCGAACTAGTGCACCTATACAATTTACCATTGTATTGGGTGTGTTGGGGATACAAGAGATTTCTTGTATTATTGCAGGGTTGTTTTAGAGGGACCATCTTCATCCCACGCCTCCCACAAATTGATAAACCTTAGGTCATCCACTTAAGAGAAATTCGCTATTGTCCTACAAAACTCTGTGCTTGGAGGCCCAACACGAGTCTACAAGAATAAGTTGTGTAGTAGACATTAGTTTATCTGTGTGAACCTTAGAGATCGCCATGAACTTCGCTTCATCTACTTCATCAGGGAGCTCCTCCTAGAAGTTAAGATCATCTTCCTCCCTTTCATGGAGGTTCAGCTTGCCAATCAGTACATCCACACCCCCGATCCTTGTGCCGCCGTAGCGCTGTTTGCTGATGACCGAGACCCAGACAACACCATCATTAAGTGCCACACCCACTTTTGACCTAAGTCCAAGGTCGGGAAGATAGGCAGCTATCCCCTTCATCAGCCCGAGACCAATCACAGGGAGGGTAGATCACCAAGGCACCGCTCAAGATTGCGAGGAAATCCAAAACCCTAGATGCCGCACCAGGGGGATAGAGAACCCTAGACGTCGCCGCCAGGGGAATAGATAGGTAGGTTGCTTTCTCACAAGATTGGACTCTTACAAACTCCCCTTTAATACCATGGTGTAAAGAAAAAACCCTTTAATACTAGACCTTTTTTCATCATTTTAGGCCTCCTTTGGCTTGTAGGGATCTTGTAGAAATTTCATAGGATATGACTTTCAAAGGAAAAAAAATCCTATGGAGCCCTTTGTTTTGTAGGAATGGATTCCTATTTCTATATAGGATAGGATCCGACCCTTCACATTTCAAAGGAAAGAAACCAGTAGCCTAGACTCAAAGGAAAAATTCCTATTCAAGGCATCAAATGGCATCTCTTTGGCTGCAACAGTGTGTTTGGTTTCTACCCGGAAACTGCTTTGCCCTGTTGTGATTAGAATACTTTATTCAAACAGTAGATTGTATCTCCTGTGTCCTTAATCAGTGCCAGGAGAGTCTACAGCGCGTCCAAGCGAAGGAAACCGGATGCCTGGGCCAGGCTAATCACTTTGCCTGGACGTTTTCTTTTCTTTTTTATTTTCACCAGGCTAATCACACAACCAGACCAGACAAGTATATTCATTTTTAAGGACAAACCAAACAACTACGAGCGTGTTTGGCAGCCGTAGCAGTTGGGCCCCGCTAGCTCAAGCCTAGCTCACATGAGGCTGGTTAGCAAATGCAACCTCTAAACCAACATGTGCAACCTGTTTGGTTGCCCGCATTTAGTTCTTACGCATTAGGGGATAGCTTAGTGCATGGTGTTTGGTTGTCTGCATTGTCTGAACTCACACATAAGCATGTTGTTTGTTTGCATGCAACACATGTTGTCTGATAACCTCTTCGGTGGTGTGGTGAGGTTACCAGCACATAGCAGCGTAAGGAAAAACACACACAGCTGAACATAGTAGTAAGCAGTTATAAAATATTGTGCCACACATAAAGAAATAAGTTCAAACACAAAAACAGTTTGATATTAAACTAAAGCAACTGGAGCATACGATGGGCCGTCGTAGGCGTTCACGACGAAGGCGTCGTCGTGCCTCCCTCACCCGGTCACCACTTCAATGCCATCATCATTGAAGACGATGACCTTCAACATGTCGGGAGTCACCAGCTTGAAGGTCACCATGTAGCCTATCTTGATCTGATGGACGACAGTGAAGGTGGCCCAACCCTGATCGAGGGTGACCCTGCTGTTCAATAGTCGGACAGTGACCCTCCAGGAGTAGTCGGTATTCGTCTTCAGCTTGAACTCCTACGACACGGACGGGAGCTGCTTCGTGAAGTCCAGTGTCATAGGTATGGCCTTGAACTAGGGGCGCCATGATCACCTTGCAGAAGGTGGTTGGCCCTCCCACCTCATGGTAGTGCTCGTAGTTCCGATGCTTGCCGCTGGGGGGCTCCTCCCGCACGTCGTCGTCCGTGGTCGGGCTCTAGACGGGTGTCACCTCTGAGGGCGACACCACGTCCTTGCCCTTGTCTTACTCCTTTGATGCCACCACCTTCTTTCCCTTGTTATGCGTGTCAATCTACATTATGAAGAGGTTCAAAGGCTGGGTTAGGATCTGCAATATGAACCTTGCAACATCACCATTAAAACCTAGGCTCGTGTGCCCCTTTATTTACCCACCGTGACGGTCACCACTTACCCACCACCTCTTTGTCTCTCACTCTTCCTCCAACCCAGCGCCATGAACTCCAACAACAAGTCGAGCCCCAACCCCTTCCCTTGGGCATTGGATGGAGGGCGTTCTTCCTGGGGTGCTCTCTGGGTGACCGCACCAAGTTTGAGAACACCATGGAAGTGTGCTCAAACTTCAGTAGCATGGAAGATCTACACAAAGTGTCAGACGATGTGGTGAAGAAGGCGACGCGGGAGGAATTGAAGACACTGATTCTTGACCCAACGAAGGGCGCTATGTCAGTCGACATACTTCGCTGGGCCATGAATCAGGCTGACTCCAACGACGCTAGATAGAGGGCAAAATGGGCCAAGTATAGACAGTCCCGACGTCCTCATGACCATCGTGCCACCGTGTACTTCACCACAAATACTGTGGCTATGGAGGTGGAAGAAGAAGATAGGGTGGCAATGATTGTGAGGGCGCCGGAGCCAGGACACCGAAGCATGCCAATCGAGGTGGACTCCGACGAGGAACCAGATACGGTGGTGCAGGCCTAGGAGAAGACCAAGACCAAGGCCACCCGCTGCTCCAATCGCCTCCAGGGTCCCCAAGGCTAAGATGCGTACTATGTAAGATGAACCCTTCCTATTGTACTCAATCCGGATCGGGAACCTCATATCTACCAGTAGTCATGACGATGTTATGATCACTCCTATGGTCTTTACCCCGATTCCCCGTTCCCCTAACGCAGGTCAAATCTAAACTCTAATCGAATGCGAAGTAGTAGGCGAGGAAGGGAAAAAAATAGCTTACCGCCATTGTCGAAGTGTTGCTGCGGATGCCGGTGAAGGTGGCAGGAGGTCGGCTTACTGTTCTCTGATCTGCTGCACACCACCGCCGTCGATGAGAGTAGGGAGAGGGGAGAGAGAGCGGTGAGGGAAGGTGAGGGTAATAACTGCCGACGCTTCGGGAAGCAACGCGACTTCTTGAGGGTGGCTTTTCGCGTGCAGCCCCTACCGCCCACGTGCCTCGCGCGGGTCTGGCTCGTGAGAAACTGTCAATTCGAGCGTGCCTTGCGAGACAGGCCTAGAGGTACTTTAAAGTTCGTTCCATACAAATCTAATAATGTGTATACTGACAATCAATCATCTCATTTTCGTCCCGCGCGGGTCTGATTGGACCTTATTCGGGCAACCAAAGGCGGGCAACCAAACGTGCCCTAGGCCAACTGCACGCACTATCTAGACCATGCGTATTTGAGTGTGGACGCAGACCAAAGAAGACCTTAGTCCCTATCGTTGGCCCCACTTGTCATCCTCGGCCGCCTCCCACTCCATTCCCCTTTGCCCCGCTCGCTCCAGTCGTCCGGCGCCGACACGCCCTCGCCGTGCCGCCTCCACCTCCACCTCGACTGCGTGCGCTAGCCCGCCCGCACTTTCCACGACCCGGCTTGCCTTCGGAGCGAGGAGAGGGAAACGATGGTGGCCATCACCGCGCTCGCGGACGGCAAGAGGCCCGTCGCTCCCTTCCATCTGCTCCTACCTCCTCTTCATCTCCTTCTCCCCGTTGAAGAAAATCTTAGGCGATTTAGTCGACATTAAGTACCTGCCGGGTTTAGTGATCTTGTTGCTGTGTGCAGGTGGGCGGGGATTTCTCAGACGGGGAAGCCCGGGGCGAAGGCTCCTAAACCCATCAACTTGCCGAACCAGAGGTAGCATTTCTAACCCTAGCACTTGGCATCTGCTGGAGAAGCTCCTGATCGAGGCATTTGCTTCTGTCAAATATTTATCACTAGCTTCTTTCGTGTCTTGTGAAATTGATGTGCTGAGGGTCTGTTTGCCTAGGTTGGACAGCCATGGCCTCCGCAGTGACGAGATTGTTCCAAAGTAAGATTTCTCCCTGTGATAATTTTCTGGGTGCTGCTAGTATGGTTCTGGACGCGCACATATCTTTGAGGTATCTGGTTTATACTAGTTAAATAGAGAAAGGAAATTATGCCAAAAACATCACATGCTAGGTGCGTGTACCCCTTGGAGGATTGGATAATACAACTGTATGTTTGTCAAGTTTTTTTTTCCATGTTAGTCAGTAAGTTTTGCTTCTCTGGTGAAACAATAGCCTGAAAGGGCATGGGACATGTGGATTCCTTCACTATACTGTCCAGGCAACCCTTGTTTACGCAAGCTGAGATGATGTTTCATTCTTGTTGCCGTCTGATGGAAATTTTGCATGGATGTTAGGGGCACGACCACTTGGGGCGGCAAATCAATGCTCCCAGCATCAAATGCATGGGCTTCACCTTTGCTTCTGAATCCCAAGAACGATGGAGCTTCTGGTTCACCTAGCCACATTGATGATCGTCCTTCTTCCCGAGGAAGCTCGACGTCATCATCATCAGTTGGAAGTGACTTCCTTGACTTACCATCGTATAGTTTGCCAATGGCCGTAAATTATTCTCTAAGCACAGAGATAAGATCAGGGAGCTTGCAAGTTTCTCGTTTTCCAGATTCTTTCAGTAATGTTCTAAAAGCACCATTGAAAGCTGTTGGCAGACGGGTATGCACCTCTACTATAAATCAAGTTGGCAATTAACTGAGGATTTTCTTATAATAAATTTTGCCAATGTAGGCACCTACATCACAGGGGAAAGGGTTCAGCCTAAGTATGGATGATTTCCCAGTACTTGGCTCCAGAAACTCTGCGTCAAACAGTCAACAAGGTGGCAAAGTGCAACATTACATTTGGTTTTCACAAAGTCTGTTTGTAGTTCATTTATTCACACTATATTGTATCTGAATGCATATTGTTGTTTGGCACCAAGTTATCTGGAACAGAATAGATATGCCAGTATTTTATTTGGTTGGACGTGTCCATAAATTCTGTCTAAACTGATAGTTTCTGGGGCTAAAAGCTTTAACCGTTCTATATGGTTAATCAGTCACATTTGTTCTCCCTACTCATTATCTTTTCTGTTACAGGGCAAATTTCAGGAAGGTGGCCAACTATTGCTTCTGGTATTGTGGCAACACAAGATAAAGAAGGAAAGAACCCGATAACTGGTATACACTCGCTTGATGAATGCTACGAGCTATCCCACTCTTTTGTATTCCATACCCCAAATATCATCATAGGATCATAGCAATCTGTGTTCAGTAAATGTAATTTCCTTTTAATATGATAGATATTCTCTAAGATATCCTTATTTGACAGGAACTGGTGAGGTAATTTTGTCTTGCAGTTATGAGCATGAAATTATCTCAAGAATGGACTATGTTTGCAAAGGAGACGATCCTATTCCTGCTGCAAAGTTGATAAGGGGAGCTGAGCAGGCTCAACTGCATGATCCCCAAGTTCCTAATATATGTATACCTCCTCCATTGTTGGATTACTGGCATCGTCCTCCTGATCAGCCACCTGATGAAAATGGAAAATTGCATAGTGGAGAGATGCCATATGGTCTGTACAAGCATGCTGACCCGACTGGCTTTGCTGTTGAATCTCTTGCTCATCGTGATCAGTTCGCGCTCAACGAGGAGGCACTAGCAAAGCAGGATACTGGACATGGTGGGTATTATCCAGACAAGAGGGATATATCTCATGCTCACATGCCTGCTGATTGTTGTGTCATAAATCAATCTTGCCATGTTCTTGGGAAGGTCAAGAATGGCCATGCAGATGTACTTGAGATCGAGAAGCAACCTATCATCAAGAAGGATGTGGCTCTATTAGAGAAAATCAAGTGTCTAAACAACAAAGCTAGAAATTTCCGTGCCCTTAACTTGTCCAATCTACCTTCATCTCTACTCAAGGACTCCAAGGTTAAACACCCAAAAATCATCCGTGTCGAGGAAGATCCTGCGACAAAATATGTTCCCTTCAGTGCTTCCACCAGTGAGACTGGTCCTGCCTTTGACAGGCTTAATTCTGTTTCTCAAAGCAGCAGTTCTGTGTCAACTAATCCATCAAATGGGCCTGATAAGGGTGTAACTGTTGTTTGTCTGTCAGAAAAACAAGTTACTGAATTCAGCCAAGCTGGAAAAGTTGGCAAATCTGCTGATCGCCATGCATATGGAAGAAGCGATATCTCAAGAAACATGCTTGATGGTTCTGCTCAGGACATGCCATCTCGTATTACTGGACATGGATGTGAAGAGCACTCCATAGTTGACTCTTTGCGAGGAGTTCTTATGGTAGATGCTCAACAAGACCAACTTCTTTCTAGGAACACCTCACAGCAGCCACATGTGACAGTCGCTGATAAGGAGCCAAATTGGCTTCACTGTGAAGACCAGGTATGTGGTTTTTGTCTCCTTAGGTATTGTCCTCTGACAAAATTGGCGTAGTTGCCGATTTCTGTGATTATTTCTTACACGGAAACTCATGAGTAATGAGATGCATAGAAAGATAAAAAAACTGCAAAACATCCTTTTTCTTCTGTACCTGTACAATTTGATTGAAGTGTTCATACTAGGGTTAGCGGTAGGCAGGTGAGCGTCCAGGGAGGTTTGGACACTATGACTTATTCAGTGTGTATGTCACTTCTGCTGCACAAAATTTTCCATGGCATCTACCTGGCGACGGATGTCATGTTTCTTTATCGCATTAAGGTTTCATGTAGCGTTTGTTTCGTAAAACTTGGACCCGAGAACCCAGTCCTGTAAACCTTGATATTAGAAATGTTTCTGCCACTCCTAAAGTCCTTCCAGTAATGCTCTTTACTCGATTAATTCATTTATCTCTATTAGACCTTGCAGTCTTGCTGATGTAGATACCAATCTTCCAAGAGTTACTCTCTGTCCCTGTACAGTGTGATTCTTTCATGTATGTAATAGAGTTCCACAAATTTTGTTTAAGCACATCCTTTTTATTATAATGCCATTCCACTTCTGTTACCTGCAGATGCTTTAATAGAGTGCCCAACAAAGTGGCACACACACACAGAAATGAAATGTTTATAATTGGCAAGCAAATACTGCAATAATGTTGCTAAGAGTTTCTTGTGCCATGGTTGTTGTTTAACTAGTGTTTTTTTGGTGCATTCAGCATTCCAGAATGAGATATTTGTCTGCTCAAGCTGCGAAACAACTACAGGACGCGGAGAAGTGGATTAGTCAACAAAATATAAATGCTATTGCAAAACTGGAAGAATTGAGGAGGTATCAATCAATACAGAGTCAGAAGTCCAATGATGCACCCCCAGACGCAGATATGTACTGCAAACCAAAAACGCGAGATGATGTGACTGCTAAATGTGCTAGTTCAGTGGCAGATACATGTTGTATTGTCTCTGCTGATGGTCATAATGCGCCTCAGCCAGTAGCTGGAGTCAAGATTAGTGAAGTTTCTATTGGTTCCAGTGCAGAATCAAATACTTCAGGTGTTAGTAAAGGTTATAATTTCAGGTCTTCAGCCAAGAGCACACAGGTTAACATGATGGAACACATTTCCCTCAACTCACTGTCACATGACAACAGTACTCCAGAACACTGGCCAATGGAGCACAGGCAAATGCATTTTGGTTCATGGGAGAGAAATATAACAGATAGGGAGATACCTGCAGACACGAAGTGTGCTGAAGCTAAAAATCATGGCGACCTCTTGACCAGAAACAAGAGCAGCAGGAGGAACTTTAATTCAGTTAGGCCTGCAGCGCCACCTGTGTTTAATGAGAAGAATTCTACAGAAGTCCTGAGTATGCAGAAAACCCATGTTCCATGTATTGCCATCAATAGTTCTATAATTCCTGCCAAGGTTACTTCTGTTACAGGTCTTATTGTGGGTAATATAATGCTTGATGATGTTCCACTTGCATCAGTAAACCGGGAGTGGGCAGTACCGGCCAAGGAAGTACATGATGCAGCTAGTAGCCTTAGCCTCTCAGGGCCTCGGCAGGTCAAGAAATCAGACAAGAGCCAGCATGGTCTACTGCCTGTCCAGACTCCAATTCCAAACAATAGTGTCATGTGCAAACCGATTAAACAGACAGGCAGGAAAGAAGAGCATGCAGAAGGAGGTCCGAATGGTATGGCTGTAGTTGATGGACTTGCTTCGGCGGTGCAAATTCTTGCTAAACCGGCAGAGTACTTCAATGTGGCAGATGTTATACAGGAGTCATCTGATCAGTGGCAGCAAGGAGATGTGCAATTTGAGCTCAAGGCCCATGGTGGTACCGAGGACCGTTCAAAACTAACTGGAATGGCGTCCTTGCCTGACAATACTTGGGAAAAGCATCCGGCAACTGACAGTCCAAGGCGCTACCATGTTGAGGCCCAAAGGAATGTGGGGATTCGCTATGGTTACAGGGAGAGGGCAGGCAGGGGACGCTTCTTCCACGAATCACCAGCTCTGTCTAGGGCTCGCTGGATGCCTAAATACATCTCCCATCCTCAGAGCGATGCACAATATGATGGTGTCTCTGAATGGCTGCAGGATTCCCACCAATTCTTATTGGACAACTCACAGGGATTGGACAGCAAACCGATTCAGATAGCTGACAGGGATGCTGGAATGGATCTGCAGGGTGGAGAAGGCAATGTAGGCATGAGCTTCGGAGATGAAAACCCCTTGATATGGAACGAAACAGAGTGGGAGTATCAGCCTCTCTTTCCAGCGCCACATCGCGTTGGCCAACAACACGGTAACACGAGTGATGATGGTCAAAGGGGTAGAGGCAGACACTCTGAGTACCGCCAACAACACGGTGACGCGAGTGGTGATGGTCAGAGGGGTAGAGGCAGACACTCTGAGTACCACTATCCGGAGCCGGTAAGATCTCGTGATGCTACACCTGACATCCAGCGGAACCCCGGCGGTGCTGACAATCATCAGTATCCGGCCTATTTAAGAGCGGGAATGCACACGGAGCGCAGGTACTATATTTGAGGGTCGCTGTTGGATAGCTGTGGTCCATACAATCATCACCAATCCAGTCCTGTAATCAATCCCTGAATATTCTTGTGAGTTGCTGAAGCGTAGATAGCCTTTTGTCAGCTCTGTTTCTTTCTTCTCTGGGCTTGCGATGATCCATTTACTTGTAAGATGCTAGTCCTGTTTATCTTATGGAGACCTTTATCTTGTAAAGCTTTGTCTGAAGACTATTCTACTTCTGATGGCCGAATACTGCACGGATCGCTGTTTGGGTGTCACGAGAAGCTTTTCTGATTGATTTGTCCAATTAGCAGTTATTTTTCTTTCTTTCTTTCTTGAAGCAACTCAGCGGAGTTAGACACAGCCACAGTGTATCGCTTCTGTTCTTTTCTTGGTTTCCCTTGCGCGTGCTATGCGCCGGCCAGCTTTCGGCTGGTCCACCTCCAGCCGTTTGATTCGACAGCCACCAGCCGTGCGATCATCTTCTTTCCCTAACCCTCGCACGCACACGAGTGCCCGCCGGTGTTCTTTGAATCCTCTGTATATATTGTTGTTGTTGTTGTTGTTGTTTGCGTGAGCGCTTTTCTTTTCTTTGCCAGGTTTTTTCTTTATTTTGTATAGTATCTTTCTCTTTTTTGGGGCCTATGTATATTTAATAATAATAATAATAATAATAATAATAATAATAATAATAATAATGCACAGCAAAGTCATGCTGTTTTCCTAAAAAAAAGAGGCCAGTGTCTCACAGAGTACCAAACTTCCTCTATAACATGAATAGCAATGGCTATTGGACTGTTCGCGGAAACACCAACACATGATGCAATAGAGAAAATCCAAGAAAAAACAGAAGTTTTCCTTTTGCTGATATAATGGTAAAGAAGGTTCAAATATACTTTTATCATATATATGTTAAACAATAGGGAAAAATTTAGTTTCAGCCAGCGAAAAACTCAAACGCATCATCCGCCTCCTATGAACAACACGTGTCCCACGTGGGATCCATCAATCTCTCCCTTCCCAGGGACACCTTGAAGCAAGGTCTAATAAAACACATCGGCGACGGAGCATCCACGCACATCTGGTCTGAGAACTGGCTGCCAAGGGAGGAGTTCTTTCAGCCTTTTGGTTGCTGAGTACAGAACCCACCGACTAGGGTCTCGGAGCTTATTATTAGTGCCACTGCATCATGGGATAGAGAACGGGTTCAAGCGACTTTTCTGCAAATGGATGCAGACATCATTCTGGGCATCCCACTTTGCACCCGCAACTTACCTGACTTTTGGTCTTGGCACTATGAAAACATGCACTGTAAAATCTGCATACAAAATTCTTGTTGCCACTAGACAGAGAAGAGAAGCGTGGCTAGAAGAAGAAGCTGGCCCATCTAATGCAAGAGCAGAAGAGGGGGCGTGGAAATCCCTTTGGAAAACAACAGTCCCCGGCAAAATCCGCATGTTCCTTTGGAGACTCTCAAAACATTCACTGCCAACTAACGATGTACGAGCTCACCGTCATATGGCTGATTCAAGCACATGTGGATTATGCGGAGTTCCGAATTCCTGGCGGCACTCACTCTTGGAATGCACATCATCAAGAAGTGTTTGGGCGCTTGCTGAAGAAGAGATCACACATAAAATCATATCAAACACTGAACCAAAAGCGAAACACTGGCCGTTTTACGGTGATGGGGTTGTTATCACATGAACAATTTATTATAATGGCAGTCACACTTTGGTCAATCTGGCACGCCCAGAGGAAGGCCATCCATGAAGCAGTATTTAGAAGATCTGGGCATTCAGCAGTTCATTGTGGCATCGGACTGCCAGCAGGTCATCCTGGACATCAACAGGCGGGCACGAGGTGTCTATGCTGCAGTTATTAGCGAGATCAATACCAAAGCATCTACCTTCTCTTGTACTTTTTCTGTTGAAAGTCGTGCTGTTAATTGTGAAGCACATCCTTTAGCTAAGTTTTCCCTTTCTAGAGGTCCGGGACGTCACGTTTGGTTTGGCGTTCCCCACGACCAAAGATGTATCCCACTTTAGGTGGACTTGGATGAATAAATCAGGTTACCCCTAAAAAAAATCAATCTCTCCCTTCCCAACCTTATCCCTTCACGATCTCTCCCGTCCACTTGTTTTCTTCTCTATATTTTGCAAGCGTGTGGAACATCGATGAGTACAACGTCTAACAAAATATTTTGACAACTGGCCCTTTCTTGCAAAAAATTCTGCAACGCGATCCCCATTGCAAAAGGGTGAAGAAGAATAAAATTGCAACAAGACCTCTATTACAAAAAAATCTGTAACATGAGCTTTGTTGCAATTTTTTTTTGCAACACGGTCTCTGTTGCAAAAAGGTAATGGAGAAAAAAATTGCAACATGATATTTGTTGCAAAAAATTCCGCAACACCACCCTTGTTGCAGAGGGCCTTCTGCAACACCACTCTTGTTGCAAAGGGTGGTTGTTCACGTGGATAGACCAGATGACCATTAGCGTGTCCATCCAATGGCCGGAGAGGTGGTGGATCTTTTCTTATTATCCACCGGCCGATGCCTAGCGCTCCCCTAAACAATAACTAACAATAGGTGTGTTGGGAAGCGCCCTGGTAATACACAGAGGAGGTTGTGTGAAAAAACAAGTGGACAATGTGCAGCTGGGGCGTAAGACCACATCATCAGAGATGGACGACATCCAATTCGTTCAGATCTGTTGCGAAAAAAGTGTGGTTTCACAGTTAACCCTTTCAGTTATTAAATATCTATGAAATAAGTTTTGAATTGTATATTCTTTTGATGTACACTTATTGGTTAGAAAGATCACCTAAAAGTACATGTGTGCCTTATAAACTGAGAGAAAACCATTGCTCGTTTACAAAACACTAGACCATAAAAGCGCGCGTTGCCGCGCCCGTCCATTGTATAATAATAATAATAATAATAATAATAATAATAATAATACTAATAATAACAATAATAATAATATCTAAAAATTTATTGGAATTGTAGGGTTCAAATTACAAGGTTCAAAGTCCACATTCACAGTGAAAGATTCTTAGATTGAGAACCCACATGTTAACATAGGTTTCTATTCTAGCATAGATATATTGGTGACAAAAAGCATCCAATTGCTAAGTAGAAAAACTCCAATGTTATTTTTGAGGAATATGCAAAAATGCATGCCTTCGCTGCAATAGGACATGGATGTAAAATTGTAAACTCAAGGTTTAGTTAGACTGGCCGTTCAATATTGAACAAAAAGTTATCATATACATGTAATAAAGACGACCTTTTTTGCGGGAAAACTTCCGACCTATTCATCTTTAATCATGGCAGTACAACGAACACCAGAAATAAAAATTACATCCAGATCCTTAGACCAGCTAGCGACAACTACAAACACTGAAGCGAGCCGAAGGCGCGCCGCCGTCATCACCCCTCCATCACCGAAGTCGGGCACAACTTGTTGTAGTAGAAAGTCGAAAAGTTGGCGTGCTAAGGCCCATAGGACCAGCACCCCAGAACGGCAACCGCCGCTGATGAAGAATAACGTAGATCAGAAGGATCAAAACCGAAGGCACACGAACATAGATGAACAACGACGAGATCCGAGCAAATCCACCAAAGATAGATCCGCCGGAGACCCACCTCCACAGGCCCACCAACGCTGCTAGACGCACCGCTGGAACGGGGGCTAGGCGGGGAGACCTTTATTCCATCTTTAGGGAGCCACAGCCGTCTCGCCTTCCTGAGCAGGACACAAACCCTAACAAGATTGAAAAACTAAAAACGGAGCCCTCCCGCCGGCCCTTGCCAGGATCCACCGCGCCTCCATGGCCCTAGGGCTATCGGAGACGAGGCAGACCTGCGCTAGCGCCGGCGAGAGGCACGGACCCTAACTTTCTTTCTTGAAGGAGGAGTCGGGGAGAGTCTAATATTAATAAAGACGACCATTAGAACAAAAGAAAAAAAATGAGCTTTTGTAACTTGCAAATTTGGGGGCAAAGGGGGACTTCAAGATCTCAGAAAATATGCATTATTTATGAGCTATATTGACATATTTGATCAGATGTTTGCCTATATCTTCATCTGACAGTATGAAAAAACACTCCGTTTCCACATAGTATTTTCATTAGCAAGCATATAATATTGGCAGAATATATAACAACAATTTTAATGTGAAAGCGCAAGTCTGTTCATGATAAATGTCTATATGTATTTCCTTCCATTTAAGTGCGTAGATGATTGTGTCTCAAATAGTAAAACCAGTAGTAGGATAAGAATGCTAAACATAAAAACATTTAATATGTTCTGTGTGAGATACATAAACACACATCCATGAGGTAAATTTGAGAGGGATGTCAAAGATCCATAATGCCAATTGGTGAAGGTTAATTATCAACAAACTAAATAAAAATAAGGATGAAGCTGCTCTTTCTTGCAAATATTTTGATTTTGCATATATCTGTTTTGTTCCCTATGATCAAATTAAAGAGCTATAGTTGATCGAATAAATAGAAATTATGTATTAACAGTTCAAACATGCAACACCTAGGAAAAAGCAAGGGACCCTCAAATTGTTGACAGGTGCCACATAATAAACAATTACCAATTCCGATCATATCCATTAAGAGTAGCAGAGGTAGGCGGAAGCACTTTCGTTATTGTGAAGCTAGGTAGTGGGGAGATGCCTGAGGATTGTGCAAGTTAGAAGTTAGGAGCAGATGTTGTGGCTCTTTAACAAATAAATCAGTACGTGGAGGGCCGAGGATTTGTACTCTCCCTCCTTCCACTCATCCACCTCTGGCACGGATGCTGGCCGATGGAATGCCGCCCACTCGATCGCTAAAGTTTCTCCAGAGGAGCGCGGGTAGCAGGACGGCGGTAGCGCCACCGGCACTGAGACGAACTAGGGGGAGACAGGTAGAGAGGAAGGATGCACGGAACGGGCTGGGCTGGGCAACACGCACGAAAACGCTGGGAGAGAGAATCACTTCGATGGGCTACATAGG